AACATAAACTCGTTAACATTGTGGCCATAAAACAAATGGCTACAAATTTTTGCTAAGAAAGAAAAATAGGCTATAAATTTAGCAAATATCCTGCAACGAAGCCATGCAACGAATTTGTCGTATTAACAGCAAGCAGAAACACAAGAGAACAAGTGCCTTTATTATGCAGATGCAGAATATGACTAACTGCCTATTTCGTGTGGGTCCCTCCCAAAAAATAGCTTTGGCCATGGAAGACGGCCGAGATATTAGTGAGTATGGAGAAGAAAAAAAAATATATTAAAGGTATCGGGCACACTTAAAGATTGTATATTGAAAATTTAGGACAGACCCGTTTTGAACCTTTATAGAATGCCAAAATTGTCAAAAGCTGAGAAGATGGAATGCCACACATATACAAACATAATATCCATATTTTTCCGTTTGTCTCCATTACCCGATATATGTGAAATGCTTAGAAATAATGCATCACACATCCCCATACATACATATGTATGACTGTATGACAGTTGTTTGGCATGTGGTAATTGCCCATGATGGATGCAAATGTGAAAATCACGTTTCCAAAAAGAAATGAAACGAAAAATCACACAAAGATGCAACAAGAAACGCCTCTCAAAATGACGTGAGCAATTTGCTTTGGCAGAGCGCAAAAAAAAAAACAGAAACTTTGCATCTTGAATTGCTGCAACGAATTGAGATTATGTGATATATATGAAAGGGTTGGAATTTGGGTGAAAGAAAAAAGATTCATTAATTTTAAAAATTTTTAAAGAATATTTTTTCCAAGGACCAACAAACGTGGATTTTTAAAGAATATTTTTTCCAAGGACCAATAAACGTGGATTTTTAAATAATATTTTTTCAAGGACCAATAGACGTGGATTTCTAAATAATATTTTTTTCCAAGGACCAATAAACGTGGATTTTTAAAGAATATTTTTTCCAAGGACCAACAATCGTGGATTTTTAAAGAATATTTTTTCCAAGGACCAATAAACGTGGATTTTTAAAGAATATTTTTTCCAAGGACCAATAAACGTGGATTTTTAAAGAATTTTTTTTCCAAGGACCAATAAACGTGGATTTTTAAAGAATTTTTTTTCCAAGGACCAATAAACTTGGATTTTTAAAGAATATTTTTTCCAAGGACCAATAAACGTGGATTTTTAAAGAATATTTTTTCCAAGGACCAATAAACGTGGATTTTTAAAGAATATTTTTTCCAAGGACCAATAAACGTGGATTTTTAAAGAATATTTTTTCCAAGGACCAATAAACGTGGATTTTTAAAGAATATTTTTTCCAAGGACCAATAAACGTGGATTTTTAAAGAATATTTTTTCCAAGGACCAATAAACGTGGATTTTTAAAGAATATTTTTTCCAAGGACCAATAAACGTGGATTTTTAAAGAATATTTTTTCCAAGGACCAATAAACGTGGATTTTTAAAGAATATTTTTTCCAAGGACCAATAAACGTGGATTTTTAAAGAATATTTTTTCCAAGGACCAATAAACGTGGATTTTTAAAGAATATTTTTTCCAAGGACCAATAAACGTGGATTTTTAAAGAATATTTTTTCCAAGGACCAATAAACGTGGATTTTTAAAGAATATTTTTTCCAAGGACCAATAAACGTGGATTTTTAAAGAATATTTTTTCCAAGGACCAATAAACGTGGATTTTTAAAGAATATTTTTTCCAAGGACCAATAAACGTGGATTTTTAAAGAATATTTTTTCCAAGGACCAATAAACGTGGATTTTTAAAGAATATTTTTTCCAAGGACCAATAAACGTGGATTTTTAAAGAATATTTTTTCCAAGGACCAATAAACGTGGATTTTTAAAGAATATTTTTTCCAAGGACCAATAAACGTGGATTTTTAAAGGACCAAAAAGGCATAAAACTTGGATTTTTAAAGAATATTTTTTCAAGGACTAATAAACGTGGATTTTTAAAGGACCAAAAAGACATAAAACGTGGTTTTTTAAAGAATATTTTTTCCAAGGAATAACAGGATATTAAACGAGGATTTTTAAAGAATATTTTTTCCAATGAATAACAGGATATAAAACGTGGATTTTTAAAGAATATTTTTTCCAATGAATAACAGGATATAAAACGTGGATTTTTAAAGAATATTTTTTTCAAGGACCAACAGGACATAAAACGTGGATTTCATTTATATACCCTACACCACATAGTGGTAAGGGTATTATTGCGCATTTGTTTGTAACAGGGAGAAGGAAGCGAGATTGACCCATAGTTACTTTTGAGGATCTTCATAGAATCACCTTCTGAGTCGATTAATGCATGCAGTCCGTCCGACTGTCAATGTATTTTTGTGAACAAAATGTTGGTCGCATTTATCATCCTATTGAGATGAAATTGGCTCAAGGACGAACCCTATTGAAATTGGTGATAATCGGATCAGATTTAGATACAGCTCCCATATATCTTCAACCGATTTCGGGTTAAAGTGCACCATATGGTCAATATCAGTCCTGAATTTTGGTACATCCGACCGAATTTTGTATACAAGGAAGTATATCGAATTCGGTGAAAATCGGTTCAGATATAGCTATACCTTCCATATATGTTTCATCCGATTTGGTGTTTAAGTTCCCCATATGCGTAATATGCATTCCTCAAGAATGATTTTCAGATGTCAGATACAGTCTAGAAATACCTCTGCCAAATTCTATCAAGATCGGTTCAAATTTGGATATAGCTCCCATATATATCTTCAACCGATTTCGGGTTAATTGTGCACCAAATGACCAATATCAAAATCAAAATCAGTTCAGATATAGCTATAACTCCCATATATATGTTTCATCCGATTTGGTGTTAAAGTCCCTCAAATTCGTAATATCCATTCTACAACAATGATATTTGTTACCAGATTTAGGAAATACGACATCGGCTAAGACTTTTATATAGCTCCTAAATATCCTTTATCCGAATTCATGTAGATTGTGCTAATAATGGCTAATATGAGCCCAAATGGGGACGTATGTTTCCATGAAAATATGGCTAACAAGTAAGCAAAGGCTACAGTCGAGCGGGGCCGACCGTTGAATACCCTACAACACTATAATAAACCATACAGTTTATATGGGCGAGATACTCGAAAGAATTCCACAAGATGTTGTGACAAATAATAAAAGAAAACCATCAGGTTCCGTTCTCTAATTTTCGAATAATAGAAACTTGAACTAATTTGCTCATTTCCAATTTATAAGTAGATGTTGCACGTAAATGGTCTTCCTAGATCTGGAACCAATATTTCCCAAAGACCTATAATCTCTCAGAAGTGGCAAAAGATTAACATTTATTATTGGTTTTTGACTGAAACGCATCTATATGAGATACAGACATTTGGCTATATTCTTCAACGAAATCATCGTTAACGAAATAGTCAGAAGTGCGTCTTTCCTGTATTCCATCCAAAACTGCTTGGCTTTTGTAATGTCCGGTAACCCCCATTCAAATGTGCGTGAGGATCGGGCGATAATTACGACCTGCAGAAAATCTTGCAGTTTTTTGGTCCATTTCAACCCCTAAATATATGGTGATCATCTCCAAAAAGAGTAGGTTTCTATTCTGACCCTCATCTTATCCCCATGCAAAATTTCGTAAGGATCGGGCCATAAATAAGATCTGTATATGATATCCTGATATCTCAACTACTTAGTTTTGTTAGCTATAGAAATATTACCAAATGTTTAATTCAAAATGAAAATATGCCAAAAATATGACAAAATTGAAAAAATATGAGACAATTTTACAAAATCAATATTTTCATCTTTAGAGAGATATCTTTATGCGATTTTTTTAGATGTTTTTCTTTCCTGCCAAGAGGCCATTCTGAATTAATGAGAACTGTCGAAATCAGTTCAGCCGTTCTCGACATATAAGAGATTTTTCAAGCATATCTTCTTTGATAAACATATATATCGCACATATTTTGCTATATATCAGTTTTGTTGGATGTTAACATCAATGTAAAGATCAGAAGTAACCTTGTCATGGCTTTGTGATTTCGCCGGGATTTAAAATATTCGCGGTTTAATAAAAAATTTTGAATTTTTTCAACACAAAAGATATGGTCTATTTTACCCGCTAAATATTATCCGATGACCAACCAAATTGGTAGGCTTCTTCCCCGCCCTAAACTCTAGCTACATGCGAAATTCCGCGTCGATTGGTCTATAATTGCGGCCTGTATAGCTACTGCAAAATCCGACATTTTTTCAGTATTTGGTCCATTTCAACCCCTAAACATTTGGCGATCATCTCCAAAAGAAATAGGGTTCTTTTCTGACCCTAGTCCCATCTCCATTCTAAATTTCGTGAAGATCGGGCCATAATTGCGACCTGTAGAGTGATTACAAATTAACATGGACAGGCGGACAGACGGACGGACATACATAGCTAGATCGACTCAACTCGGCGATCTAGGAAGATCCATATATACTTTCCTATGTGGGAAATCAATATTTCGAGATGTTACATAATTTTTGGCCCAATCAAACTTATAATACCCCCAACACATAGTGTTGTAGGGTATAAAAACTCACACTGAATGGGATCCTAGCTATTTAAAATATTTCACAAAATTATTTGTCATAAAATTCTACTATTGATTTTAGAAGACATCAAGAGTCTATATCATACCTGAACGCCAGAAATTCATATAGATTAAAAATAGATTTTAGGGTTAAAGCCGTATTTTGTTCGAGTTTGGGCAAAAATTTCCAACAAAGCATCATTTTAGAAGGATGACGCCAAATATAGAAATATTGTCATCAAATTATTTGATTTAAATATATTTTTCCAAATATCAGTTGCTTGGAGCATTTATTTATTTCTTTTTAATTTTTTTTATACAATAACTTTTTTCCTCGAGTGTATAAAAACCCCAAACAAAACAAATAAACCTCTTTCTTCCTTCCAGAAAAAAAAATTGAATTATGTACTCCATACTTACTTTAATTGCACCAATTGCATGCTGTTTGGTATCGAATGTTACAAAAGCACATCCTTTGCTTTGGCCATTTTGATCCCTGAGCACCGTGCATTCCTCGATGGTGCCGTGTCCTGTGAACAATTGCCTCACATCGGCTTCATTGTATTTTTTGTTCAGCATGCCGACGAAAAGTTTGCGTTCTGCAAAAGAGAGAGAGAAGAGAAAAAAGAAAACGCATAAGTGAAAGGCAAATAATTAACACACTGAAATACAAAGAAAAGCAAATGAATGAAAGAAATGTTTTTCCAATAATAAATGGCAGCTCCTTTGTAGAGCAAAGAAAATTGAGCTGAAATAAATGAAATACAAGCCATTACTTATTGAGTTAAGTGGTAGAATTTGAGGGTGTGAGGGGGAGAGGGGAGTCAAATTTGAGAAAAGAGCAGGTGGGAATGAATACCGGAAATTTTACATAACCGGAAAAACTTTAGAAACATACAAAGAAAAAGCTGTGAAAAATTGTATAAAAATGTTGCAAATTGCAAATTATTTTTGCAACTGAGAAAGCTACTCAGAGAGAGGTGAAGATGATGCAAAAGTGGTATAAACGACCACAAAACACTTTACACCAGGGTCGATCAAAATGAGATCAGACAAAAATGAATGTTTATGAGAAAAAGAGAATGTTCATTGTGCGGCAAATTAAATTTTTTTTAGTAATGATGGGGAAAATCCATCATAGTATGAAAATAGAGAAAAAAGGAAGACACGTGTATCGGCGTTTTAAAAGTCTACATCGCAAAGCAACCTAAATTAAGAGGGCAAGTTCTCCCCTCTACCACATTTGTAGAAATTTTCGGATTAAGATTTCTTGGAATCCGTTGATTTTAGGAATATAGTTTCTTCGGCAATATTGCAAATAAAAATGTGGGAAATATTTTGGTAAAATATGTTAACCCTCATGCGTGACAACAATGGGGTCTTTTTGGTCTTTCTTTTAAAAAATTGTTAAAAACTACCTTTCAACGGGATCGTAGCAAATTACAATATTCAACAGAATTATTTGCCATAAAATTCTACTATAGGTCCTGGAAGACATCAAGGGTCTAAATCTTACCCAAACGCCAGAATTTCAAATACATTTAAAATATCAAGGACCAATATCGTAGATTAAAAAAAAAAATACATATTTTGGAAAATTATCGTGAATTTAAAAAAATGTGTAGGGTTTAAAAAAATGTAGGGTTAGATAATCGTTTATTTTCAAAAATTATTTTCTTCGGCATCAATAACAATGTGCGGCAACATCTAAGTATTTCAATAATTAAGGGGAAAATTCAGCAGATTATGAAAGTAGACCTAAAAAAGATGTTTATCTAGCCTAAATAGAAAACGTAGCCATCTTCCAAATCATTGGAAATTTTCGGATTAAATTTTTTTGGAATCCGTGAATTTTAGGTATACAGGGTGTTTTTTTTTTAATTTTATTCAATGAAAGCAAAAAATATCGGAAATAGCATCAAATTTTAGAATGAGTTTAGATTTGTTCGAATTAGTCACCTTTGGCACGAATTATGGCCTTCAAACGGCCAATGAAACCGTCACACGCTGCCGAATGTTGATCGGCGGTATTTTGGCCTATTTCCGGCGATGCGCTTGCTTGAGGTGATCGACACTCTGGTATTTTTTAGTGCCAACTTTGCTTTCCAAAATACTCCAGACACAATGGTCCAACGGATTGGTATCCGGAGATTTTGGTAGCCATTGTGCGCTGGAAATGAAGAGAGGAACCTCATTTTGTAACCATTCTTGGATGTGCTGTGTTCTGTTGGATTGTCCAAGGTCTGCGGCCAAAATGTTTGGGTGACCAAGGCTTTAATACACCCTCCAAAATATTTTCGCGATAATATTCGGATTTTATTCTGATGCCATGGTCGATTAATACGAGCGGAGAACGACCATTGGCTGTTATGGCGGCCTACACCATCACCATGGCCGGCGCTTGAGTTCTGGTGGGCAACGTAAGGTGCACATTTTCAGCTGACCTCTTTGGCAAATAAATACGATCATTTTGTTTGTTTACAAACTGCTGGACAACGAATGTTTTCTCATCGCAGAAAACCAAATTCGGCAGTTCAACACTTTTGGCCAAGCGCAGCAACTCTTTAGCTCTCTTGAGTCTATCTTTTTTCTGTTGCGGTGTAAGTTCCTTCACTTTTTGGAATTTCAATGGCTTTACCCCGAGCTAATTTTTTAATATTTACGGAATGGAATATTGCGATATGTTCAGCTCATTTTTCGGCAACTGCGACGCGGGTTTCGATCAATTCGCTTCTTTACTTTTCGAACCATTTCTGCTGATGTTGCTGTTTTCTTCCGTCCACTTCCACCACCTTGACGTCGGTATGTATGAGATGGTAGGTCGGATGATACGAGACCCAAAAGTTTTATTCAGGAGTGCTCTAACGATAGCCACTTGTGGTTTTCCAGCCAAATATAAAGAAATCACAATATCACGCTTGAATTCCATCACGAATAACTTCTTGTCCGAAAAATTCTCACCAAAATGCCTTGGTACGCTTGTAAATAATATAATGAGCTGTCATTGTAATAATTTTAACAGCTGTCGGAAGAGTGGCTTAGAATAACAGCAGTCTGAAGTTGCTTGTAGTTTTATCATCCCACCCTGTATTGTTGAAGTCTCTGAAGGACGAGTGCCTTAGAAATAAAAGCAGTCTCAAGTTGGTTGCAATTTTTTCATCTCACCCTGTATATATTGGTGCTATACCGAAATCTGAACCGATCTCGATAAAGTTTCGCAAAGGTATTTCTCAGTTTTATTTGATATATTTCCTCGAATATCGTTGTTATGGAAGGCATATGCCTGTGAAGGACATATATAAAAAATCGGATGAACAATATATATATATATGTATGGGACTTATGGCTATATACGAACCGATTTCGATCAAATTTAGCAAACTTATTTTCGGGCTTAATTTGGTGGAATGGTATGGGTCTCGTTTCTTTTGCCTGTTACAAACAAATGCACAAAGTCATAATACCCTGACCACCTTGTGATCAAGGATATGAAAAGTCGAGCCCTTATAAAAAATTATCAAAAAAGTGTCATGAAATTAAAAACTAATCTGGGAATTAAAAAGTGTTCTACGAACCAAAGATGCCAATTTAAATCCAAATCGATCCGTCAACAAATGATCTTTATTTTCGACCAAACTATACCGACTAATAAGAAAAATTTAATCTTTGATAACATTTCTGGAAATTTTGTTTCTCTTCTGAACCAAATCAAAAAACTGTCTGATGTAGGGTATCCATTTCCCTCACATACACACACATCTTCAGAAATCTCCATATCTTTATACCCTACAACACCATGTGTTGGGGGTATTATAAGTTTGATTGGGCCAGAATTTATGTAACACCTCGAAATATTGATTTCCCATATAGGAAAGTATATATGGATCTTCCTAGCTCGCCGAGCTGAGTCGATCTAGCTATGTATGTCCGTCCGTCCGTCTGTCCGTCTGTCCGTCTGTCCATGTTAATTTGTAATCACTCTACAGGTCGCAATTATGGCCCGATCTTCACGAAATTTAGAATGGAGGTGGGGCTTGGGTCAGAATAGAACCCTATTTCTTTTGGAGATGATCGCATAATATTTAGGGGTTGAAATGGACCAAATACTAAAAAAATGTCGGATTTTGGAGTAGCTATACAGGTCGCAATTATAGACCAATCGACGCGGAATTTCGCATGTAGCTAGAGTTTAGGGCGGGGAAGAAGCCTACCAATTTGGGTGGTCATCGGATAATATTTAGCGGGTAAAATATACCATATCTTTTGTGCTGAAAAAATTCAAAATTTTTCAATAAACCGCGAATATTTTAAATACCGGCGAAATCACAAAGCCATGACAAGGTTACTTCTGACCTTTACATTGATGTTAACATCCAACAAAACGGATATATAGCGAAATATGTGCGATATATATGTTTATCAAAGAAGATATGCTTGAAAGATCTCTTATATGTCGAGAACGGCTGAACTGATTTCGACAGTTCTCATTAATTCAGAATGGCCTCTTGGCAGGAAAGAAAAAACGTCTAAAAAAATCGCATAAAAATATCTCTATGAAGATGAAAATATTGATTTTTTAAAATTTTCTCATATTTTTTCAATTTTGTCATATTTTTGGCATATTTTCATTTTGAATTAAACATTTGGTAATATTTCTACAGCTAACAAAACTAAGTAGTTAGGATATCAGGATATCATATACAGATCGCATTTATGGCCCGATCCTTACGAAATTTTGCATGGGGATAAGATGAGGGTCAGAATAGAAGCCTACTCTTTTTGGAGATGATCGCCATATATTTAGAGGTTGAAATGGACCAAAAAACTGCAAAATTGTCAGCAGGTCGTAATTATCAACCGATCCTCACGCACATTTGGATGGGGGTTACCGGACATTGCAAAAGCCAAGCAGTTTTGGATGGCCATCCAAAAGTATTCAATGTGGGAAATAGTTTGCCAACTTTTGTAGACAAAATACGAAAATGTCCATTCCAGTGACTTTTTGGAGAATTCACAAATACAGGAAAGACGCATTTCTGACTATTTCGTTAACGCTGATTTCGTTGAAGAATATAGTCAAATGGCTGTATCTCATATAGATGTGTTTCAGTCAAAAACCAATAATAAATGTTAATCTTTTGTCACTTCTGAGAGATTATAGGTCTTTGGGAAATATTGGTTCCAGATCTAGGAAGACCATTTACGTGCAACATCTACCAATAAATTGGAAATGAGCAAATTAGTTTAAGTTGCTATTATTCGAAAATTAGAGAACGAAACCTGATGGTTTTCTTTATTATTTGGCACAATATCTTGTGGAATTCTTTCGAGTATCTCGCCTATATAAACTGTATCATTTATTATAGTGTTGTAGGGTATTCAACGGTCGGCCCCGCTCGACTGTAGCCTTTGCTTACTTGTTTTAAGGCTACTTTTATTCATTTACATTAACGATGTCGTTCGTCTGCAACAATATCCTTTGAAAATTCCACTCATTCGCATAGCTGCCACAAGTACTTCTGCTGCTCCACAAGTCGGTAAATGTTAATATTATATCCTGCCATTGTGGGATAGTATTGGTGGAGCGTAGTGTGTGTGT